CAGATTATGATCTGAGCCCTTTTATTCCCAGAGGAAGCAAAGGAGGGAGTTTTTTTTCCTAAATTTGGACCTCCCTGCTTGGACAAAAGAATCATAACCTGGTCATAACCAAAGAATTAAAGAGGAACTTGGAGTTTGGGGTATTAAGAGCCTGAAATTTGTGCATTTTGTTCTCATTTTTGTCACAAAATGCTGCTCCTGAGGTGCAGCAGCTTTACCTGGGCACTCGTTTTACCTGGAATTGCACGTGATGGTTCAAAATACCCCCTTAATGCCAGCCCTGGTTAACAGGATTTTATAGTTTCTGTTTATTGGAATTCTTGCTGCTAATTTTAACTGTTTGCAAGAAGCTTTTAAGCTCTGAAAATAACCCCCCTCCCCTCCCCAGTCCCAGCATAAATAAGGATAAATTTTCAGTTGCACTCTGGGCATTTGTGCCTCTGAAGGTTCCACAAAACAGGACAAAAACACACCAATACTAAGTTTAGGCAAATATTTTCCATAGAACGCTGCCTCCAGTATGAATTCCAGTAAATACATGACAGAACTTCCCAAAACAACGTCTCCTTTAATTATCTGTATTTCCCTGAAGAAACGGGAAGGTTTCCAGCTGGTTACTTGACCTGAGGATTTCCAGTGTCCTGTGTAGGAAATCATCCCTAATAGAGTGTTTTATTAACTTTTAATTCAATTCTTCTGTGTTTTATTGTCGCTCTCTTGTTCCTCCTACTCTTTCCTCAGCTTCCACGTGCCAGATCTGGAGTATTTAAAGTGTGAGGAGCTCTCTGTGTGTTGCCACCACCTCTGAGAGCTTTCAGAGTCTCTAGAAGGGTTTGCTGTCTCCCCTCTGTCCCAGGGAAACCAAAGGACGAGCATAAAACCATGATAATAAAAGCCAAATATCTTGTGGGAGCTCTGGGGATGAGTTGTGGGGTTTTTTTTTTGGTTGAATCTCATGACTTTGGAAATAATCTTACAAAAAGCACTTGGGCCTGTTGGGGTTTGGTTCGTGTTGGCATCCCAGAGCAGAGCTCTGGAGTTGGAAAACTTGCTGCTTTATTTCTCCACCTTTCCCAAAGAATCCAGGAGGAGCTGTGGGAGGCAGGGAATTGGGCATGGAAGTGTGGAAATGCTCTTTCCAGATAGGAAATAAGTGAAATTTTACGGAGTAGAACACCGGGGTCTGCTCAGACCCCTTTTTGAGGGTCTGCTTTCCAGTCAGGCAGGGCTGGTAATTCCAGTTTGGGTAGATCTGGGGGAAGCTGTGGTTTGGATGTTCCTTTGGAAGTTGTTCCTGCAGAGCTTTGGGGCACCAGTGAAGTTGAGCTGCAGGAAGGACTTTGGTTTGTTCCAGCAGCTCCTTTGCCGTTCCGGTAAGCGGGGAGGAAACTCGAGGCAGCTCCTTGTGGGACCTGGCAACCAGCAGAGCCCCGGGAATGCTGTGCCAACCTTCCAGCCCTGCTTCAGGAAGCCTTTGGCTGGAACAATAGTGGGGAGCAGGAGTGGAATTCCTGCCTCTGAGGGGCGTTTGAAGGGGCTTCGATCGCTCACACCCATCCCAGGAATTGTGCTGCTTCCCACCTGCACCTCTCCAGGGCTGTGGGGTTGGAACATCTGGTCCCTGGCACAGCAGAAAAGCTGCTGAGCTGGCAGGTGGCTGCTGCAAAGGGACCTGAACTGTGCTTTCCTTGCTTGGAGTTTTGTCTCTCACCAGCTCCCGGTCCCCGCGGGTCTCGTGGGGGGGTCGAGCAGGAATCCAAGGGGTGAGGTTGTGCAGTGGCCCCGTTGCTCAGGCAGATGTGGCCTGTTTTCCCTCCACAGGGGTGAGGTCTCACCAGCATCCTTGATTTAGCCAGGATTTACTGCATCCTGGGAGCTGGTGTGCTCTGGGAAGGGCAGGGCTGTCCCCACAGCAGTGCCGTGGTCCCGCCCCGGGGCTCAGGGGGTGACTCGTTTTCACTGGAAAGACAAGAGGGAAGGAGCTTGTTCCCTCCAGAGGTGGATGGAATGACATTTCTAGGAACTGCAAGGCAGGAAGTTCACTCATGGCATCACCAAGGAAGAAGGATCAGGTGACTCTTTGGTGACTCTTCAGGAGATGACACAGGGATTTTGGAAGTGGAGCAAAAACTCATTAAAATTGGGGTTCCTCCACACAAGAACATCCAAGAAGGTTAATCCAAATGAAGATATAAATCCAAATACGGTTTTAATTTGGTTTAACTTAATTCCTCTGTTTGCTTGTGTTCTGGATGAAGATGTCCATACAGGGATTTAATTTCATCTCATAAAAGTACTTGGGTTCATATCCTTAATTAGTTTAGGGTGTGCACGTGTTCTCTTCTTCCATGAGCGTTTTCAAACGACCTGTAGCCAAGGAATTGGACACCAGGGAAGTGATGCCTGTGTAGGTACAGGGATGGTGTTGCTGAGAAACCAAGACACCTGGAGTGCTGTGTCCAGTTCTGGGCCCTCAGCTCAGGAAGGACATTGAGGTCCTGGAGCAGGTCCAGAGGAGAGCAACGAGGCTGGGGAAGGGACTGGAGCACAAGTGCTGTGAGGAGAGGCTGAGGGAGCTGGGGGGGCTCAGCCTGGAGAAGAGGAGGCTCAGGGGAGACCTCCTCACTCTCTGCAACTCCCTGACAGGAGGGGGGAGCCAGGGGGGGGTTGGTCTCTTTTCCCAGGCAACCATCAGCAAGACAAGAGGGCTGGGTGTTCAGCTGTGCCAGGGGAGGTTTAGGTTGGAGATTAGGAAGAATTTCTTTGCAGAGAGGGTGCTCAGCCATTGGAATGGGCTGCCCAGGGAAGGGGTGGATTCTCCATCCCTGGAGGTTTTTAAGAAGAGACTGGATGTGGCATCAGTGCCATGGGCTGGGAACCACAGCGGGGTTGGATCAAGGCTTGGATTGATGATCTCTGAGGTCCCTTCCAACCCAGCTGACTCTGTGATTCTGTGATTCCCTTCCCTGCCTAAAAAGGGAAGCTGGAATGGAGCAATGTCTTTCCAGCATCCATCTCTTCCGTGGGATCCCTTGTGTGGAGCGTGGCAGGGAGTTCCAATGATATTCCTGCACTGGGGCTCACAGGCAGGACAGCTGGGGAGCCTCAAAGTGCTGAACCTTGGCAAACACATCTCAACTTTGCCATTGCACAAACACTCCGAGCTCGACATCACCCACCTTCAAACCGGTTCCTTTGCAGGTTGGGGAATTTATAAGTTCCACAATTAAAGCTCGTCCTGATTTGTGCAGCAGGACTTTGGTTCCAGCCTCCTCACCCCACTTCCCTGCTTCTCACCACCTTTCTGTTCCACTTCACTTCCCAGAAGGACCAGCAGAAAACTTCACCAACCCGTCATTTGCCGCACAAGAACCACATGGGAGGTTGTTGCTTTCTTAAAAATGCCCAGATTTTTTTCGTGTTTCAAATGCCTGTTCCTCTGGAGTTCTCTGTTCCTCCTGGAGCTTTCTGGCCACGCTGCAGAGCACGGGGCGAACACGCAGGGCTGGCCAGGCTGGCCATGAGCAGCCTGCTGTGGAATGCAGTGTCGTGGCACTCGAGGAATCCACTGATCTCTGGACCAAGAGCAAGATGTTGTTTATTGTTGCTTTATAAAGGTTGTTTCGGGTCTATAAAACTCGTTCTCCGGCGCTGTCGGCTCCGAGCGAATCATAAATGTCCTGGGTGTGAGGCACATCTGCTAAACGGGGTTGGATGGGCTCTGGGCAGGCTCAGACTCTGTCTTGGGCTGGGTTTATCCATCTGGGCTCAAAGGATATTTTTTTTTCCTGGTGAATTGATCCCTTTTTGTGTTGATATCGGCGTATCCTGGCTGAGATTCCTCACTGCCGGGCTGAAAACGCTTGGAAAGGTTTTGTGAGAGACAGTGATAAACTTCAGGGGTTTTGAGCTGTTTAACTCTTTTGCTGCTTAAGTCTAAATGTCTGCTTCTGTGATCCATTGGGAATTGATCCATTGGGAATTGATCCATTGGGAATCAATCCCTTGGAAATCCATGGGGGCGCTGGGACACAAACAGTCCAACACACCCCCCCTTTGAACTTGGGATCCTGAAGCTCTTCCCGGGGATTATTTTGTGTCTCCCGTGTGTATATGGCAACATTTTCGCTCCTAAATGATCCTTCAGCTTCTCTGTAAGTTCTTTTATCCCTTTGGAAAAAGGGGCTTCACAGCTGGGAGCCCGGTGGAGCACAATCTCTGTCTTGGAATGTCGGGTGGCATTTAGGAAATAAAACCCACACGGCCCCAATTCTGCTGAAATTGGAAGGAAAACAAAACTTAGCCTGGCTTGAATTGGGTCTGTTATTTCTTGCCCTGTAGGTAAAACCTCAGGTGAGGGTTGGAACTCAAAAGCCTTTGTGATCTCTAAAATCACAGCGAAGCAAAAAGAGCCACCACAGGGCAAAAAGGCCGAAATTGGGGCAGTTTGGAGCAGATTTGAGGGGGGTTTAGAGCTCACAGGAAAATGACTTTTTAAATGTAAGCAAATGAATCTGGAGGAAGAGGCTGATTGTTGAAACAGGCAAAGTAACAACAGTTTGCTTTTCCAAGCTTTCTCTTGGAAAAAATTTGCTTCGCGTCTCCTCGGGCCGAGATCTGTAATAAATTTTCCCTTCAAGTGTCCATTTTTTTAACTCAAAACTTATATAAACACCAGAGAGAGACTCAGCTGAGCTGTTCTGTGCCCGAAATGTGGTGTAGGGAGGAACGAAGTGTCACCTCTGAGCTGTTCTGCACCAAAGGTCACCTCGGTTTTATCCCTTTTCTAGGTATAAATCTCTTATCTCAGGAGGTTTTGTCTTTTCTTGCTCTGTATTTCCCTAAATTTGCCTTTAAAAAATGTTATAAAGTAAGAAAAACAAAATACAGGTGGAAAAAATCAAGCTGAGGTAATTTTGGTGGCGAATGTTGGAGCTTTTACGTTTCTCTGAGGTAATTTTTGGTTTTTCATTTGCTTTTTTTTTTTGGTTTTTTTGTAGGATGCTGTGACGTCAAAACCAGTCATCCAGTTTCAAGGAAGCCAAGGGGTAAGTTTGTGTACCTGGATTGCCTTGGGAATTCCACAGCTGATGGCAGGAATTTGTGCTGTTCCAGCTCAAGGAATGATGATGCTCCAATTGCTGAAAGGGAGAGGTTGAGAGGTCCAAGGAAAGCTTTTTTTCCCCCCCTTTGTTCCCTTACCTTGCTAAACCCACGTGAAATCCAGCTTTGGGAGGTGAAATCCAGCTTTGGAAGGCCGTGCTGATGGGTAGGACAAGGAAAAGAGCACAGCAATCCATGGAAACCTCACCTGTATCCCAAGGGAGCAACACCTGGGAGAGTCAGAGCAGGACTTTGTGGCTCCCACTTATTTCCAACAGCAAAAATCCCGAGTTTTTGAAGCTTTATTTAACATACCTGTGCCATTCCTGTGAGTACCAGCAGTTATTTTCTGTTTAGGAGTTTTATTTCTCCAACTTCTGCTCTGATGCCTGAACTCCAGGGTATTTATAGCCCCTGGAAAGGCTCCGTGGTGCCAGTTGCTGACAACGTTGAGATTTACGTGGTGGTGGTGCTGGTAAAGCCATGCAGCTCTTCAGTGAGCTTGAAAAATGTCATTTAAATACCTTTTATTTATAAAAAAACCCCCCTCTCTCTGTGTCCAGCTTTAGGCTTTGCATAAAGAAGGGGAATTTTAATTTTTAAATATTTTTTTTTCCTTTCCCCCCCAAGAATCTGAACTCAGCTATGAAGAGCTTCTCGTTTTTATTTTTATTTTTATGCCACTGGCACATTAAAACTTTCAGAAAGTTGCTTGAATTAAGCAGCCACTAAATCCAGCACCTTGGCCTTGCCCACATACCACTTTGTGACATTATTCTCACTAATAGCACACAGAAAATACAGCAGGAAAGACATGATTGTTATTGTAAGTTCAGAAGAAAAATACAGAGCTCCTCGTCCTGGGAAATACAGAAAGGAGCAATTTCCAGGTTTGGTTTTTTGTTTTTTTTTTACTTTGTTTAGAATTTAACTTCCCTGCAAGTCAAGATCAAAATCTGGCAAAATCAAACTTGATATATATATATATTTTTTTAACTTGAAGGAAACTTAGCAAAAGGAAGGGGGGAACAGCTTTAAAACACTCCCCTGCCCTGAGGCTCTTTGGGTTCCACGTGGATCAGAGGTGGACAAGGCTTAACAAAAAAACCACTGTTTGAAAAGGCCGTGGTTTCTTATTGTAATTCAGAATATTTTCAAATTATGTGTGATATTTTCAAATTGCAAGTAATATTTTCAGACGACGTGGTCCTCACAAAAAAATCAATATTTATTGTATTGGAGCCCTTAACTTCCAGAGAGGATTGTTTTCTTTTTGGGGTGGGAGAGCTGCCAGTTACCTGTGTGAGCCCCTGGAAAAGGGGGTGGGAGGAGGATGTGGCACTCAGGGCTGACCTCAGCTCGTTAATTAATTGCCCTGACGAGTTAAAAGGCCAAAGGTAGAGCTTTGAAGGGAGCAGGATCCAGCTCCATGGGAGCAGAGAGAGAAAAAAGAGCTCTTTGTCCCCTCAGGATTATTTTTCCTGGGTATGACAAGGAGCTGGCAGCTGGGGAACCATCTGCTTTTAAGGGTAGGACTCTCAGGATTCTCCTGCTTTTAGGAACTGAGGCTTGAAATGCTTTCCAGGGATCCTCCATCAACTGGACTCCGGAGAGAATTCCAGGAATTTCACAGGCTCTCAGATCCAGATGATGCCATTAAAACATATTTTGTTTAGCTGCTTATTTTTTAAATGGTTTCCTCCACTGTTCCTTAATTCCCCCATTTGTTGCCTTCCTGTTTTGCTTCCCAAAAAAAGGTGGCTCTGGGGGAATCCCGTTACCTTTTGTACGTGGGATTTCAGAGCAGTGGGGTGAGATTTTAGTAATTATGAGGTTTTAATAGTGGGAATTTTCTGTGCAAATATCCCCCTCACAAGAAGAGAAGGCTTTGCTTGATGATTAGGGGAGGCAGGACTTAAAATAAGAATGTTTTTTTTATTTATTTATTTATTTATTTATTTTATATATAGGAATGTGCTGCTTCTTTAATTCTCCAGAAGCCTTTAAATTAGTGTGTCCATGTCTTTTTACCTGTTCCAGTGTCAGGGATGCTTTCAGTTGCTAATAGACAGAAAAGCAGCTTTCATGTTTGATACACTAATTAACCAGGGGAGGGAATTGCTGGGAATAAAACAGCAGGTCAGGAAGGTGTTTTAGAAAAGGAGGATTTGGGTTCCAGCCCAAAATAAAACAGCTGTTCCAGTGGCAAGGCACAAAATCCTCCTGCATGGGCCTTGGTCTGGATGGAATCTCTCAGGAGTTTATAAAAACCTGGGATGTGTTTCTCTACAGCAGTGCTGGTCTTGTTAATGGCTTTTGCAGGGCAATATTCCGTGGAATAATCACAATTTCAGTCCTAGTAACCAGCTTGTAACGAGCAGAGTGTTGCTCTGCTTTGAGCTGCTAAAATGGGACCGTGGATATGCCTTGAGAACAGCACCTGGCTGTTAGTTTTTCATCACAAAGTGAGTTATTTTGGATGGTTTTGTAAGGTTTTATGCCCATTTCTTGAGCATTTCGCTCGTTTCAACGTGCACATAAATTAGAATTTCAGAGCCTGAGTTACGAGCAGTGATAGTTATGCACAACTGGGCAAGGAAAGGCTGAAAAAGCTTCTATTTTGGTCAAAAAGGCATTCAGAATCAGAGCTCAGGTTGGGTGAAATTTGCAGGTGCTCGGTGGGGAGAGAAGGGAAGGAACTGAACTGAGAAAGGGGTAAAAAAAAAACCCCTTCAGGTGCCCAAACCACGTGTGTTGGTGGAGCTTTTTAACGTGACTGTTGGGGGAAAAAAATCCCATTGCTTTGTGATGGGAAAACACAATGTTTCTCCCAGTTTCTGGGCCTGAAGTTGTGCTGGTATTAATAGAGGGAGGTGAAAAATCTCCATTCAGAGCCCTCCCTACCCAGATGAATGTTACTTGAAAGAGGGGAAACAGAAGTCACATCTGTACCGAGCTATTTTTAAGTGTCTCTGGTTACTGGTGCAGGGCTCAGCACCAAAATTAGGGCTCCCTCAAAGCAGTCCCCATGCTGATTTGGTGGCTTGAGAAACCTTCTGTTTTCAGCTAAAAATAATTCCTAGATAACGGCCCCGGGTTTCGTACACTCCACTTTTCAGTACTGGAGTGACTCTGCCTCCTGCCTCCTTTTCCATCCTCTTAAAAAGCTGCAAAAACTCTACAAAAATGCCCAAATTGGGGCTCCTGGAGCAGCTGATTTTTTTTTTTCCCCCAATGGTAAAATCAGGAGCAAGGAGGAAAGTTCTGTGGTGTGTGAATATATGGTTTGGTTGCTTTCCTATTTTGCTTCCTCCGGGGAATCCCGTTAACTTTCGTGTGCAGTGGGATTTTTTTTAAAGCCAGTGGTGTGAGATCTGAGCAGTTGGAATTACGAGGTTCTAATAGTGGGAATTTTCTGGGCAAATATTTCCCTCTCACAGGGAAGGAAAACTTTTCTTTTACAAACTCAAATTGTTTGGGGCACAACTCGATCCCCTGACCGAGAGCTCCGGAAGGGGGGAACGACCCCCTTGAATTCACCTTTTCTCCCCGTTCCCATCGAATTAATCTGCAAAAATACCCCCAATCTGCTGGTTCCAGGACTTTTCTTCTTGTAAAGCAGAAGGGAATTTTATTTCCCCTGCCCTGGGTGGGGGCAGAGGGTGCAGGGCCAGATTAAAAGGGCTCGAGGCTGGTGCTGCACGTTTGGCAGGGGAGATAACGGGGCTCCTCAGGGAGGGCCCAGCAGCACCCACATCCCCCCCAAATCTGCTCCCAAGTATTTTTAGCCCCGGATCCTGGGGATAACTCGTCCCTCTGTATAAAACAAGGCTCAACTCGGGGTTCCTGGGCTTGCCTTTGGAAGAAGGGAGCTCTGTTTGAGGGCAGGGAGACGCTGCGGGGGCTCAGCCCGAGAACATCCCTGTGGTTTAGCAGAGGGGCACAGATGCTCTGGGTCGCCTCCCAGGCTGCTGGAGACATCTGAGGTCAAAAGGAAACCACCCAAAAACCCCTCCTGTCCCGGCAGCAGTCCTTCCTGAGCCCAGTCAGATGGGGATGGTTTTGCTGGGAGTGTGTATTTTCTGCATTTATGTGGCAATCCGGGTAAATATAAACCCGTGCGGTTGAGTGCAGCCCAAAATAGGTTGCAACTGATGTTCCTTCTGTCTGGTTTTTCTGGGAGCCATCTTAATTATCAAATATTGATGTGATAGTAGAGCTCAGAGGCTGACATTTACGTTGGATCTCCAAATGCAGGGGGGGGGGAGAGAGAGTTTCCCTTTTGAAAAATGAATGGCTCGGGGTGAGGGGGAAGAAGGAAAAAAACAATGCAGGGATGGCTGTGGAGTTGTCTGAGGAGCACAGTTAATGCTTGATTAAATATTTAATTTAGCAGCAGCGTCACACTCTACTGTGAGCCATGAAATCTTGTTATGGAATTATAATATCTTAAAAAAGAAGAAGGGTGCTACCTAGTGACCTGGCTGGTGCTATGTTTAGTGCTGGCTCACTAATTCGAAAGAAACAAGCCCTGAGTGTTCTAAATTGAATATAAACAGTCTGTTTTGAGCCTGAATCAATAGAATTGGGTCAGATTCCTAGAGCAAGGTTATTGTGGGCTCTGTTAGAGAGGCAGCAAGTCCCTGCTCACATCTCTGTGCTACCCCACACACAGTGGGATAACTCGAATTCTCCTCGCAGCCTCTTGCCCTCCTCTCCCTCCTGTGCAGAAATCCAGGTGCTTTACTTGCACAGTGGGTGGCAAAATGCCTAAAAGCACCGTGGCTGCAGGAGAGGAGGGTTCTGTGTCAGCCTGGGGCACCCAGGTGACCGATGGTGTCCCTCTCCCCAACAGCACATCGCGATCCCGAGGCCCGACCGACCGACGGAAGTGAGGACCTTCACGTTTTACCTTTCAAATATTGGCAAGGACAGCCCCCAGGGGAGCTTTGACTGCATCCAGCAGTATGTGTCCAGGTGAGTGGTACCTCCAAAAAAAAAAACAAAACCCAGCCTTTTTTTTTTAACTTACCTTCCGTGGCATCTTTTCCCTGACAAACCTGGACAAAGCTCGATACGTGTTCTTCATTTTTAGAGACTTTCTCATCTGTCTGAGCGTGGTTTTGGGAAGCATCTGAGTTCCCTCCTGAGCTCCCTGAGTTTTGGAAGCATTTGAGTTCCCTCTCAACTCCTCTGCATCCCCCACTAATATTTAACTGGCACAACCCCAGTTGTCCCCCGGTGTCATTCGCAGTGTCAGAAGGATCTTTTCCATGGTTTGTTTTTTTTTTTCTCAGCAATGGCAATATCCACCTGGATTGCCTTGGGAGCATACAGGACAAAATCACTGTGTGTGCTACTGATGATTCCTACCAGAAGGCGAGGCAGAGCATGGCACAGGCTGAGGAGGAGACGCGCAGCCGGAGCGCCATCGTCATCAAACCCGGGGGGAGATACGTAGGTAAGCCCCCTCTCCATTCTGGGGGCTCTTCTCCAGGTTCTGGAGCCATTGCTGACGTTGTTTGCTTGCCCATGGCAGTCTCTGGTGGTTCCTTAGGGGGTGTCTGGTTTAGGGTGTTGCTCTCCTTGTGTTGTGTCGCCTTCACGGTTCCATCATTGCCTCAGGGCTCTGCCCAGGGCAGCTGTGGCTTCCCTGTCCCTGGAAGTGTCCCAGGCCAGGTTGGATGGGACTCAGAGCAACCTGGTCTTAGTGGAAGGTGTCCCTGCCCACGGCAGGGGGTGGAACTGGGTGATCTTTAAGGTCCCTTCCCAGCCAGACCACGGTGGGACTCTGCGCGCGGCGCTGTCGGGGCCGTGTGTGTGCAGTGACATCCCTGGCTGGCTGCAGGTCACGTCTGTCACGCTGGGAGCACCCTGCTGACCCATCACAGTGTCTGTGCCCATGGCCAGCTCAGCTAAAACGTGCCACACAGCTGGGGTGTGTGCCCACTCCAGAGCAGAACGTGCCACGGGTCGTGTTAATGAACAGAGAGACCACAGCAGTGCTGCAGCCTGAACAGACCATCTCGCTGGGACAGCAAGGAGGAAAACCTTAGGAGAGGAAGTAAAACCGTGGCAAATATCACAAGGAGCCTGCAGAGACCCAGCTTTTAGGCTGCTTAACCTCAGGTCACAAATTTAGGGCACAAACACGAAGCTGAAAGCAGAGTTTGGTTATTTTTTTCTTTCTGAGGCAGCTGTTTTTCCTGCAGCCCATGTGATCTGTAGCCAGTCTCTGCTCAGAGGATCTGTGATGAGAAGGGTGAAGTTGCAAAATGTAGAACTGACCCTGACTCACTGGCAGAGTGCTCAAAGGCTGAGAAACGAGATAATAATCAGGAAGGAAATGCATTGATTTCCTGTAGACTAGAAGATTATTTTGTTTAGCTCCTCTTTGAGAACATTACAGTAAGTGCATGAAGTTAAGGCTCGTGAGGGAGAAGCTTCTCAAAAGCAAATTGCTTCCCGGGGAGCCGGAGCAGAACTTCTTTGATTTAAAAATACCCCTGCTAAAACCTTTTACTGCCCTGCAAATGGAGCTGTGTGAAAGCAGTGGCCGCTCCTAGATAAGATGTCAGCGTTGAAGACAGGAGGGGGGGAGCACTGGTCCAAGAAGGAAGAGCCTGGAAAGGACAGTCCTGGTGTGGGATACGCACATTCCCGGTGTGCCAGCACCATCAGCTGATTCCCATTCCCGGCAGGCCGGGCTGGAGGGACAGCACTGGCTCTCACATTTCCATGAGAACACGGAGCTCAGCACTTCAGCGGCAGTGGAGTCATTCCAGGCAGCTCAGATGTGGAAAAATTTATAGGAAATGTTGAAATTGGAGAGCGGCAAGAACTCGCAGATGTGAACTGGCACTTGGGTAAATCCATGTGTAAATAGATGCCTGCAGGTAAAAGCTGCAGGGGATGTGTGTGCTTAACATCCACACTAAACGTGTGTGTGCATCCATACCCATGCACCTGCATAAATATTTTAAGATCCTTTGTGTTCTGGCTTAACTCAGTTGTTTTGTTTTGGTTTATTTTTTTTTCTTCTTTTCCTATCACTGCACATTTTGGCTGCAGCCTCAAGTGGAAACCTCCCAATGTGTGTTTTTTACTGTTCGTGACCTGGCAAACAGTTCAGGGAGCTCTAGAAAGCTGACGAATCTTCTCTCATCCCAATTGCTGGAAACAAAGAAAAACCCAGTTGACCTCTGGATTTTGGGGGATGTTCTGAACTGCAGGAATCGTTGCTGTCCTGCCTCTCTCACCTTAGCTCAGCCCTGACGAGGAGGTTGGTTTGCTCAGAGCAACCCCGTGGTGGTGTGTGATTAAAAAAAAAAGCCAGGAAATGGGGCCTGGGTTACGCAACCCGAGCTCAGCCAAACAAACAGTGCAGACAATCCCCAGTATCTTGAGATGACTCAGTTGGGAACGTGGCTTCCTAGCAGTGGAGAAGTGCCATCCTGGAATAAACCTCCGAGAGAGACGCTCTCGCAGGAAGCGCCGGGTGTTGTTTGTCCCGGCGAAGGTCACTTTCCCTCCAGCCCAGGGGATTATTGGTTGTGCCTCCACGGCCTCCAGACCTTGGAACCTGCCCCCTTTTCTTCCCAGATTTTGCTTGGTTTGGTGGCAGGAAGCTGGCTGTGAGACCCCTCGCTTCTGTGTTCAGGAGAGCCCAGTTCTTTGATTTGGGGCTGCTGTGAGGGTCTGTCTGTCGGTGGGAATGGGAAAAAGGAACTCTTGGATCGTGCTGTCGGCATCCAGGAACCACACTGAGGAGGCCCAGGTGCACTTTGGAGGCAGCTTTACGTTCTCAGTCCTCTGAAAACTCAACTGGAGGGTTGAAGCAGCTCTTAGCCCAGGGCAGAAGGGGTTATTCCATGAGCACAGACAGCACCCTGATGAATAGGCTGATGGCCCAGTGTCAGCCCCATTCATGGGGCCGTGTTTGGAGGGGGAAGGGAGGTGGACCCAGCCCCATAAAGTTCCTATTGTTCTAAAAGCAGAAACATCTGCTGGAGGAGCGTTTTTGCTGAGCTCAGCAGCAGGGGAGCCGCTCGTTGACCAGTTCTGGTCTTTCCACTCCCGTATTTCCACTCTTCTACATAATAATGCAGAATTTTCTTCTCATAGGGGAGGAGGGGGGGGCGAAAAAAAATAGTTAGATTAACCGTGGGGATACGTGCACTTGGGATAAACGAAAAGCTGGCAAACAAAGGGAGCTTTATGTGAGCTGGTGGCCAATAACACTCAGGTTTCCAGAGCTTGGTGTTGCTGTTTACTTGTTACGAGCTTGTCATGAGCCATAAAACTCCTGGGATGCTCGTTCCATGTCGGAGCAGAGGGGGTTGTGCTGGTTGTGTTTTGTCCTTCCTTGTCATCTCGTGGCACTTCAGAGGGCCTGCTGAAGTGTTGACAGCCCACTGGCCTTTTGCAAGGTGGCTGCTGCAGTTCACTATTCTCATCTCATTTTAGGCAAAAAGGTTCAGGTGCGTAAACCTGCACCAGGAGCTTCCGATGCTGTTCCCTCCAGGAAGCGCCCAACGCCAGTCAACCTTGCCAGTGCAATAAAGAGAGGCAATAGTGCCATTTCTCAGAGACCCTTCAAAGATAGGGTTGTGCACTTACTGGCACTAAAGCCTTATAAGAAACCTGAACTTATTCTCAGATTGCAGAAGGATGGACTTTCTCAGCAGGACAAGGATTTGCTGGATAACCTTCTGCAACAGGTTTGTACTCTTTTGACGGAGGCAACGATTTTTAGGTAAAGGGAAATGTCTTCTCAGAACCCCTCCCGTGTCAGTCTTAACCTGTTATCTCCAAACTGCAGCTCAGTGTGTCTCTAAAGGCCGTGGGTGACACAGTTCCCAGCTCAGGGTGCTGTTGCAGAGATAGCAGGGTCAGGGGGGGTTTGCAACCAAGCTGGATGATTTTGGCTCACCAGATCAGTCCTGTCAGAGGAACACTTCTGCTTGGTCACGGGGAGGATTGTCTGACAGAGGATCTACAACTTCCTTGATTTGTTATAACCTGTCAGTGTCTGTATTTTTATCCTCGTGGACGTAAAGGAGCAACGCTGTGTGTTGGTACCTGGGTTTTTTTCTATGTGAAGGAAAAGATGTCCCCTCTCTTTTTTTTTTTGTATTGCTCTGAGCCTTTCCTGCTTGGAGGTGCCACTGGTTAGGTGTGAAGATCATGCAGCTTCTTGCCAAGCACATTATTTGTATGTCAAGTGTGAAAGCTGTCTCCAAGCTGAATCAGTTCCTAACACTTGGGAGTCACGTTGAAGGTGCCATTTTAGGCCTTGCAGTAAATCCCTTTATTGCTTTCTTAAACGCATCATGGCTATTTATTTAAGTGCTGCAGCTGCCCTCTTCTGTATTGGAATATATCCTGGAAAATATTCTGATGTTTGTTTGTTTGGTTGGGTTTTTTTTTTTCATTCTACTCCTTTCCAGAGCTGAAAAAACCCTGAGACAGGACTCAGTTTGCCTCCAGGGCACAGGGCAGGTCCCATTAAACCCGGGCAGTTTCCAGCTGGCACAACTCGCTCCTTCCTTTAAGACGTTTAATCCTGGAACCCCTTAATTTTTTTTTTTTTCTCTAGCAGCGCTGGGATTCTTTTGGAGCACCTTTTGAGTTGCTATAAATAGGTTTTCAGACTAGAAACCCTCTTCCTGAGGATCCCTCTGGACCTGATGCTCCCCCGGAGCCCCGGCGGGGAAGCGGCGCGTGCGGCCCCGGATCGGCCTAAATGCTGATTTGGCTGGAAACGTGTGTGTGTGTGTGTGTGTTGCTCGTAAAAGTTAATCCCTCTCAGCCCTCCCTCCCAGGGCTCCCCTCCCATCCACCAGCAGACACAAGATAAGCTAAAAATTACAGGCTGTGTTAAAGCTCCACACGTCTAAATCCGTCGAGGTGTGGGTTTCGTGAGGCCTCTTGCATCTCTCGCAGGACTCCGTGTTCCTGACGGCCTTTTTGCCTCGTTTTGCAAGGTTTCTATTTTTGGGAGGGCCGGGGTGGAGCTTCCAGAGTCCCACACAAGAGCAAAACAAGGAGGTAGCAGCAGCTCTCAGGCTCCGTGGAGGGAAGGAAAATCCCTGAGTTGGTTCTTCCCGGGCTCCAGAAACAAGCAGGAGAACCAGGAGAAATTCTGGGAGGCCTTCTTGAAAAAGGAACCCTGGCTTTGCTTTTGTCTCTGGGGTGTGTTTACAGGGACACCTCGGTGTAAAAACACGGCTCAAATTCTTCTTGTATTTTGGCTCAGGATTTTGGAAAGCTGACAGGAACTTGAAAGGAAAAACAAAGTGTTGGTCGTGTAAACTGATAACTGGGCTTTCTATTTTTCTCTTATCAGGAGAGTTTGCTGTGTTACTTGTGCAGCTTTTTTTTTGCTTTGAACTGCCTAGATTTTTAATATTTTTTTTCACATTTGGTCGTAGCCTCCCTGAAGCAAAAGCAGAGGAATCAGCAGCATCTTCAGTTCATTCGAGGCTTTCCACTCCTTCTCTTGTTTTTGAGGCATTTTGCTGCTGTGTGGATAATAGGAATCCCTAAGCACAGCCATCTCCTGAACAGAGGGAGCCCTGGAGAACAGTAATCCCAGAGCAGATGCACAGGGACTCCATGGACTGAGTAAAAACATCTCCCAGTTTCAGGGGTGTAACAGTCCCTCAAGCTCAGGGGCTCAGGCAGGGAATTTTGGGATGCAACTGCTGGCTTGGCCAGTGGATCAGCCTGGCTGTGGCAGAGCTTTTGGCACCTGGGCCTCTGTGTCCCTCCTCAAACACACATTTAAGGCTTTATTTTCTTCTTAAACTTGCAGTGCTCTGCAAGCACAGGTTTGCCCAGAGGAGCTGTGGCTGCCCCATCCCTGGGAGTGTCCAAGGCCAGGTTGGAGCAACCCGGGCTAGTGGAAGGTGTCCCTGCCCATGGAATGAGATGAGCTTTAAGTTCCTTTCCAACCCAAACCATTCCATGACTCTGTGAATCACCTGAGAGAGGTTCACTACCAGTTGAAGCCTGATTTGGGCTCTTTGCCTTGTTCCAACACTGGATTTTTCAGATGTGTAACCAGCAGCAGCGAGAAGTTGAATTTTCAGTCGAGCTGTGGAAAGACTGATCCGAGTGGGATAACTCTGAACCAGTTGTTTCCATCCTAATCCTAACCCTGCCTGTTCCAGCAGTGTTTCCTACCCAGGCAGGGCTTTGTGGGGGAAACTCCACGGGGTGGAACTGGATAAAATGTCAGGCAGCGCTTGCCGAGCTCCCCGCGGTGCCCAGGCTGCAAATCACAGGTTCTGCTCTTGCCCTGAAGTACCCTTGGAAAAGTTCTCTGTGCAATCCAGTGGATCTGCATTCTCCTCTCTGAGAAAGCAGCTCTCTGTCACCTCTTTTCCTGGCTCATTCAGTGAGGAAATATCTCCTGGCAATTGTTAACTAAATTATTGCCACGAGAGTTCCTCTCTCAGCCATAAACTGCCCTGTTTTGGCTGTGGCACAGGTGTGATAAGAGAACTGCCTGTTCCCATTAGGGTTTATTTCCAGGTGTTCCCATAAACTGCTGTTGTGCTGGTCCAGGCTACCCAAGCTGAATAATCTTTTTAGATATGACTTATTTCCCCACTAAACTGGATGTGCTTTAGGAACTCGTTATGAATTATTGCAGTGACAAGGCAGAAGGAAAGGCACAGTTTGATTAAATAATCTTAATGATTAGGAAGTGAAATATTGAAGTCCTTGTTCTCTGACACTGCTAACTGCTAAGTCTGCTCAGAATTTGCCTTTGTCTTAGCTCTTGTTTGTTAAAATAAGTGAGAAAATTTAACCCTAATGATGTTTTTACGGATTACCTCCATTTCAGGTGGCAAATTTGAGTGCCAAGGACAGCACTTTCACACTGAAGGATTGTGTGTACAAAGAAGTGCAGAAGGACTGGCCTGGCTACTCAGAAGGAGATCAGCAGTTGCTGAAGAGGATCCTGGTTAGGTAATTATCCCATGTTCTCCCTAATTTCACCTGGAGCTTGGAAATCAGGGTAACTGAGGGCTGAAAGTTGAGTGTTTGACTCGTTTTAACATCAGGCAGATGGGGGAGTTGACCAAACTTGAATATCCAAGTGGATCCACTCTTCAGGTGGTCCTGGGTTGCCATTAAACCACTCTGCTAAAAGCTTGAGGAAAACCTGGATAGGGAGCAGAGCTGGCAGAGGGAAGTTCCAGTGGATTAAACGTGTCCAGCTCAACTCTCCACTGAAAGTCTCCTTCCCTTTGCCCACATCTCCTTGCACATGTCTTCCCGTGGTTTAAAGGCAAGGAGAAGATGTTACCAGGCAGCCACATCCCTGGGATTCAGATCTGACTGGAGGAAGGGATGCATGGAAAAGCAGAGGCGGTTCCATAGGGATAAATCCCCTAAAACACCTTCTGGGTGTCCTGCTGCTGATCCTCTGTGTCCAAGGGATACCTGTTCCCCTGTTCCTCCCTGAAAACAGCCCTTAACACACTCACTTGATCCTTGGTTGCTAAAGATATTTTTCCTCTACAGATATTTTTCCTTAAGTGAAGCCTCCAAGCTTGGAAGGGCAGCAGGGAAAGAGCCCAAATCTCCCGGGTTTCTCCAGGAGAATTCTTCTCTGAGTGTTTATATTTCCCTCTCTGGGTTTTCAGTGCCTTTGTAATGCAGACAGAGCTTTTACTTGTGCCTTATTTTATTGCACTTTTGGTTGAGATGAAGCAGAGTGTGCTCTGTTTGAGCAGCTCCCATGATTTAAAAGCACAATGGACTTGGAGATGAGACTTTGCTAAACCCAACAACAGAAAGTTGCACTCCGAGTGCTTCTGGTGTGCTGAAGTAAAATCAAACTCCTTTAAGTGGCCTTGATGTTAAATTATAATTAAAAGGAGAGCCATAACTGCCATGCAATCTTTATGGCTTTCCAAAAACCCAGCGAATTTCTCCCCGTAGAAAGCAACGTTCGCTGCTTTTTTTTTTTTTTCTTGAATTGTGGTGCTCAGTTAGGAGGAGGTCTAAAAATAGACCTTGGAAAGGATGTATTCAACTGTACAAACAAAGCCCCGCTCGGCCCATGCAGGTAATGAAGCTCCAAAATGGAAAAAAAACATGTAGGGTTTGAAGGCAGGAGAAAAACAGCCACGAAAAGGGCACAGGCAGCGGCAGACGTTGGATTTACGTCGCCGGCGTTGCCTGGAGCCAACCAATTGTTCCGTGTCCTCCTGGTTTTCAGGGCCAGTGGCCACTGGACGGTTCAGCAGCTGCAATAATTGGAACATCTGCAAATGTTGGAGCTGTAACTAACCCTGCTCGGCGCGTTCTTCCTCCTGGTTTTGTGTTTTCCACCCTCCTGCGGGTGTAAAACGGGACCCTGAGTGACCTGGGCTGGTGGGAGGTGTCCTGCCCGTGGCAGGGGGTGGCACTGGATGGTTCTTTTCCCACTGGATGGTTCTTTTCCCACTGGATGGGCCTTAAGGTCCTTCCAACCCAACCCATTCCAGGATTCCATGGAACCTTCAGCTGTTACAAAGATCCTGAACTGAACCCATTTGTCTTTCATCCCCTTCTTAAATCCACAATTAACAATTAGGAGGCATGACCAGGTTGCTCAGGCTGATGACCCAGCCCCCAAAAAAGCCACTTTCCCCAGGGTGTTGATGCAATGTCACCGTCCCTTTCCCCTTTTCACAATCCCCAAGTACTTTCCTTGAGCTGCTGAGTTTGTTCTAAATAAAATTAAACAAAGCCTGGCTGGCTGTGACTAAATGATGTCTAAATATTGCTGCAACACAGCCCAAGGTTCAAGCTCAGGTTAAAAGCAAAATCTTGTCAAGTCATGGGCGTTATCTCTGAAATAATCTTCCTAATGTTTAAAAAATATGGGCTTTAATGCTGACTGTAGTTTTCTCGTGGAAGAATTTAGACCTGGGTTATTTGGGCTCCACAGCTGGTGACAAACTGACTGCAGAGCTACTTTATTAAAGACCTTTAACCCCGAATTCTTCCTTTTTTTTTATTATTTTTTTTTTCAGTTTGTCAGCTACAACTTGATGCAACAGTGGTGGTTTTTTTCTGGGTGATTAGTACAGGGACAGTCTGAGCAAAGCTGGTGGGCTGGGAAAGCACTCCAAGATCTGGGGAGGAGCAGAGACCTGGCCTGGAGGGGAATTAAGGCACTTAAATGATAATAATTGTAATTTTTTTTTTGCTACAAGAGGTTTCTATTATTTGTCAGACACCACAGATACAGCCCAGAGTAGCTTTGTTTTGCATGATGCAACTTAAAAGTGTTATTGTGAAGCCCTAAATGTAAATCCTAGTGGACCAATAATACCTCAGCAGTTCCTGTTATAATCCTGTTTTTCCTGGACCCAGAGGGGCTCGCTGCTGAAAGGACTGCTGTTCCCATAAAATGTTGTTTTAATGATGCTGATGAGTGGGAGAACTTATTCCTTAACATCTGACCTTGAGTTTCAGCCCCTCTTCAGTGAGCTTTCCTTTCTAAGTTGTCTGCTGAAGTCAGTTTTAACTGGGTAAAGCAAAAACTCAGCAGAAATTTGTTCAATTAATGTCTTACTGAGCTGTATTTCAGTCAGAAGAACAATCTGTTATATCCTTTACACTTCAAAATTCAATGCCAGTTTTACTCATCTCCACATGGATCGTGTTTCTGAGGCTGTCATTAAATTTGTTGCCATTCTTACATCACAAGTTCAAGAGGAAAGAGGTAAAAAATGTTGGAAAATCAGTTCCATCCTCAGCAGGGAATCCTCCCCTGTGTCTGAGAGCTCAGCCTTGCCTCCTCCCTCCCTGGCAGTGCTGGTCCCTCCATTCCCAGAGAATCATCAAACAGAATGGGAAAGCAGGAAGGAGATAAGGAATCCCCACTTGTCACTGATGTTTTCCTGTAGTAGTTTCTCCTCCCTGGGTTTTGTCAGAGCTCAAAGCTGGCAGTGCCTGAACGAGCTGCTCCCGTGGCATCTCATCCCGAGCCCCAAAAAAAGGCTCTTTGCTCCACGGGAAGATGGGAAATGCCCCCTCCTGCCTTGCCAAGGCCCAGGATCTGACCATCCCCAACCTCCTGTTTTGCAGGAAGCTCTGCCAGCCCCAGAACAGCAGCGGTTTTCAAGGAGAAGCACCTTCCCTGAGCCCTCCAAAGGACACGGTGAACTCCAGCTCTCCCCCTCAGGTGGGTGATCCCAAGGTGATCCCTGGCATCCATCTCCTCCTCCTGATGGATTTGCCTGCTGGAGGTGTGTCCAGGCAGAGCTGTTGCCTGTCTGCACCCCATAATCACCTGCTGGTGGGTCAGGAGGTCGTTGGGGTTTTATTTCTATTTTATTAAGTTCCAGCCTGATCCTGGGTTCCCTCAGCATCTGTTTCTCCTCTGGCCCTGTGGGGAGAATCCCTCACAGCCTGTCTCAGGTTCAGTTTTTGGGGCTGAATTCTTTTCCCCAGTGCCCACATCCCTCCTGGAGTTCCTGGGAGGGCGAGCTCGTGTGTTTTCCTCATTACTAATAATTGAGTGGAACGAAGCCTTTAATAAGCAGCTCCCAAACACACTCCAGAGTTATTAAAACCCTTGACCTTCTGCGGCCTAATGGCCCTGACAGATCCAGGAGGGGCAGGTTGGGCTGCTCTGGGATGGGAGCTGTGAAAAGAACATTTTGCCTGTTTTTTCCATGAGAAGAAGAAGAAGAAGAAACACCCCCCCCTCTGAAAGGAGCTGTGCTTGGTGTGTGTGTGTGTGTCAGGCAGAGTCTGTCCCCACTTTTCCCAGGATCCTCTCAGCACAGGCGTTTCTCACATTGTGAAATGTCTCCTTCCCTTCTCTTCTCCACTTGTGGGTCAGCCCAGACAAGTTGAGTATTTATTCTTCTCCTGCCAGTGGAATGTGTAATTCCTACTTGTCTGGACAGACGCACTGAGGATTAGTGGCAAAGAATATTAGCAGGTAAAGAAATTATGTGCTTTCTGGCAGTAAGAGGGAGGCAATTCTCTATTGAGAACAGGGACTGTGTAACTCGTTTGCCAGGTAGCTAATTCCAAATCCTCTCCTGCTCTGCTGTGGGCATGTTCCTGGGGAATAAAGATCACCTTCAAGTTAGCTTGGAAACACACAGTGCTGTTAACAGGCTGGGCTTGTGTGTTTTTTAACTGATTCTGGAAAAAAAATAAGGTTGAAAAATCAATCTTGCTTCTGGCTGGCCCTGTTTTGGAAGACTCAGAGGCCTGTAGGGGATGGTTTGGGTCTCTGGAGTTTGAAACTTTGGGGTGGTTGATTGGTTTGGATTTAGGAAAGGTGGTTGATTGGTTTGGATTTAGAAAAGGCTGGTGAAACAGGGGCAACCAGATGGGGGATTGAAATGTTTCCAGTAGTGATTCTGTTGTGTCAGACACCAAACCACAGCACTGTGAGCTGTCACTTCTTTTAATACTCTCTAGCTGTAGTTTCTGTTTAGAAAGGGATGGCTGCTAATGGGTGCAGTGCCAGCAGAGGACTGGGATTTGGTAGTCAGGAATGCAGAACATTTTGGGAAAGTTCAGCTGTGGAGTGAGGATGTTAAAAAAATAAGGTTTAGTCTGGAAATTCTAAGGAAGCCTGGCCGAGCAGGGATGGGATGCACATCCACCTCATAACCAGGGAGGTGAAGCTGGTGTCTGTTGGGTTGAGAGAAAGGGTGGTAAAATAGGGCAGTTTGGTGGGTTTTTAGTGATCTGTTCTGAGAGCTGCAGCCAGAGGTGGCCCCTCCCCTGCGAGGTGGACACCATGTGTTCTGGGAAGGGATGTTGCAAAGCCGGTTGGACGTGCTGGCCTTGCCCCTGGAGCTCAGTGGCAGAACCAGCAGCTCCTCTTCCTGATCACCTGGACAGGTGGGAAGGATCCCTGGCGTGGAGCAGAGTCCTGCAGACCCCTGAGTTAGCAAAGAGGAACAACAACCAGGGAGGGAAAGGAGGGAATTAGGGGCTCCTCGAGCCGTCGCCTCTGCGATGGAGCAACATTTCCATTTGCAAACACGTCACAGCCCTGCCTGAGACAGAAAGAAAATAGTGAATTATCCAAAGGAAATACCCAGAACTATCGCCTGTTTTCCTCTGGGCACTAAATAATCCCTGCTCAGAGTTCCTGCAGCCCTGGAGCTGCCAGGTGGGCACACACAGAGGGCTGGCCGGCGTGGTTTTGGCTGGCACACGCTGGGCTGAGCCCGACAGCCATGGGTCTGGCTCTGGGTTCTGCTGCCTGATGGATGGGTTCTTCCATGGAGCAGCTTTTCCAGGCTGGAGAACTGCCTCCAGGGAGGTGTGGGCACGTGGAGCTGCTCCAGAGGCTGCCTGTGACCGTCCTGCTGAGGGGCACGGCCGGGAACAACTTCCCTCTCTGCACTTGTTCAGAAAAAAAAAAAAGGATCACTGGGGTCACGTTGGGCCCTGTGACGTCGTGGCTTTTGAAGTGCTGTAAACGTCCCCTTTTTTGCCTGAACTTCTGAGAACTGAGCAGTTGGCACTTCCTCAGCTCTTCCGGGCAATGCCTGGCTCTCGAGAAGAGGAAGGAGTGGGTTGCAGGGGTGAAGCTGGTGAGCCCAGAGCTGGGAGGGAAGAAAATGCAGAACTGGTGAATCCCCCTCCCTGCCCCGCAGGTCTGAGCACGTTTTTTTTCCTTGGCAGGGGATTTGGGGTGCTCTGGATGTTGTGCCATGACCAGGACAGGTGTTTTTATCATGGAATCCTGGACTGGTTTGGGTTGGAAGGGACCTTAAAGCCCCTCCAGTGCCACCCCCTGCCATGGGCAGGGACACCTTCCACTAGCACATATCGCTCCAAGCCCTGTCCAACCTGGCCTTGGACACTTCCAGGGATGTTTCCAATCTCTGCTAATTGGCTGGGACAGGGGTTTGAATTCCAAAGGGCTGGATTTGAAGCAGGTTGCAGTGAGAGCAGCCTGTGTCTGGGTAGAGCGGGAGATCAGTGATTCCTGACGGGATGGTGGGATCCTCTAAGCTCTCCCACCAAGCTGCAGTCTCCGGAAGGCTGTCAGGAAGCAGCTTGGGATGGATCAGCTGCTTTTCCCGGGAATACACCCTCTTCTTCCCTGTCTTGCACCACCACCTAGTGGTGACCCTCCAGCCCTCGCCATCACCCGCTTTTTTTTTTTCCCCCGTTTCCCTCCTCAGAAACGATCCCAGCCTCTGGAGTTCATCGACCCCCTGGCCAACAAAAAGCCCAGGATCTCGCATTTGGCTCACAGAACCCAACCCACCTTCAACGGGAAGCTGAGCTCCTCCAACGGGAAGGACACCCCCAACCTCCCCCCCGCCCTGCCGCCGGCGCTCCCCCCGGAGTCGGGAAGCTCCTCCAGCTCCAACCTGCCGGTGCTGGAGCTGCCCCGGCCCCACGACCCCCTCTCGGATGTGAGCAACGACCTGGCTCACAACGGCAGAGACTGTGAGAGCAGCGAGGCCACGGAGAGGCTGAGCCACCCCCCGCCCACAGACTGTCCCCAGACCAGCAAACACAACTGCGGCTCCTACGTCAAATCCAAGAAAAAATCCAAAAAGCACAAAGACAAGGAGAAGGAGAGGAAGGAGAAGAAGGGCGAGGAGAAGTGCAAAGAGGAGAAGCAGAACTGTGAAGTAATAAAAAACGCTGACTTAGGTAGTGTTCCCCAGGAACAGGTCACAGGTAAGGACGGGCCGAGAGGTAATTTTGGTGTTGGCTGGGTGTGATCCCGCTCTGGATCCTCTGAGGACGGAGGGAGCACGTCCCTGTCCGCTCCCAGACCCCGCGGGGGACGAGATGCCGGCGCTGTCCTACCTCCAGATCACCAGAGGTGCTTCCCTCCCCAGAGAGAGGGCGGCAGGTTTTTCCTGTCTAACCTTTCGTGCTGTTTTGGAACTGCCTCAGAGCGTGTCATGTCTCTCTCCTGGTTCAATTAAAAGCCGGGATAATCCGTGGGGATGAAAGGCAGGGAGCCAGGCCTGGGAAGAGCAGCTCCTCATGGGGGTTGTTGGTGGCTTTGTTTGGGGTTTTTTTAATGAAAAGTTACTCACAAAACCTTTTAATATTGGATACAAATGAAGTGATAGAGAAATCTGGTGATAAATGCTGTCCAAGCAGTATCCAGCCAGCTCTTCCAGCCTGGAAGCTCTTCCAGCCTGGAAGAGCTTCCTTGTATCCTGCTAGGACTCTGAATTTATTTATTCAAGGACTGACACAAGAGTGAATCTCCTACAGAAAACATTTTCCCTAAACCACTGTTTCAAAGTCAGTTCTGTGAACTCTTAGAAGCCAGAGCAGAGAATATCTCTTGGCCAGTCCCATCCATTGCCTTTCCTGCTGCTTCCAGGTTTTCTGCTGTTTGTCCCAGCTCCCCAGAGCACTGGGACTTCCCCTGCAGCCTCTGGGAGTATCTTTTAAATTTCTTTTTGAATCCATCTCGTTTTCCTTCGCCCTGCTCCTGCTTTTCCACGTTCCCCTTTGTGCCTGGTGCATGAAAATCATTCAATTTTGGCTCAGAAAAAGGACAGTATCTTGGAAATGGAAACTTAATTTGCTGGATTCCTGGAAAGGGAGCTATTCCCAGGGCCCTGGGGCTGAGCTGGTGTCAGCTCTCACCTTCCCCACAGTGTTTGTAGCACCTACAGATGGCTCAGCAGTGATTTTAAGGACAGTCCATGGGTCTTATGGTTGTGTTGCACTGCAGGATCAGCTTTTTAGATAATTCTTTAACCTTCTCTGGTGTCAATCCCAGTTTTTTTCTGGGAGTGTTGGCTTTCTCCCATGTGGGTTTTCCTCCCTGGGGTGGTTCTGGATGGGCACACACAAGTTTTCCTCTCTTCATTTTTTTGTCCCTGTTTCTTATAAATACCCAAATGCCCCAAATTCTGAAGTTGCTGAGCCTTCACCACCTTCTCTGCTTGACCTCACAGCTTAATGACTGGGTGTCTGTTAATTAGTTGGGTTTTGTTCCTGCTGCTGTTTGGGAGGTAACAAATCCAAGCTGGATTGGGAGCAGTCACAAACAGGATGTGGTCAGTCCTGCTTGGATCCTGGACATCCAGCACTGGGAGCTTTTCCTTCTGTGCCTTTGTGCCTCATCCTGCTCCTTCCCCAGTTCCCCCCTGGGGCTGAAGGGAAATGTTGGATGGAATCATGGAAAATTTGGGTTGGGAGGGACCTCAAAAGCTCATCTCATCCCAACCCCTGCCGTGGGCAGGGACACCCTCCACTAGGAGTGGAAGTTTCTCCTGGGAAGTTTCTTCCAGAGGGACCTCTGGGGTCCTCTCAGCGTCAGTAGGTGGCACTCACAGGCAGAACAAACCTCCTTGTCTCCCTTTCTCCTCCACCATCCTTGAACTTTCCTTAGCCCACATCCTGCCTCTTCCTCACTGTGGGCAGGGAAGGAGGGAAAACCAGGATTTATCTGCAGTGGGAATTTGAGACTGGGGTGGTTTTTATAAACCCTGGGTTGGTGCCATTCTCTAGTTCTGCCCAGGAAAGCCTTTCTGTAGAAATTCGAGGGGGGGGAAAACCAGTTTTTAAAAAGCTCTGATCGGGTTGTTGCTGACTCTGATGAGGACTTGGGAGTATGACACACAATTTGTGAGAAATATCCCTTTTCAAACCTGGATCCACTTGCTTTCTCCCTCCAAATTTACCCTGCAGTGCTTGGCTTACACTGAGGATGGGTCTGGTTTAGGCTCCCTCCGAATCCTGTTCCTCCTGAAATCTTTGCTCCCCTCCCTGAAGCTCCTGAACATCCTTAGCTGAGCCCTTATCGATGCTGATCCCACTTCCTGGAGCAGGGAGCACTTGGGTTTGTGTGAGGAGAGAGCTGCATTCCCTGTAAACCTCTGTGTGGTGCCCTGTAGGGCTCTGGGTTTGCCAGCATCAGGAATCTGCACCTGGAATATTCCTCTGGGGAATCTGTGAAGTGTAGGAGCGGGAGAAAAGAACATTCACCTTGCTCAGCTCTGTTCTCTGGGCTCAGAATGTGTTTTTCCCATTCCCAGTGGTGCTATCAGTGTTATCCCACTCCAGGCAATGTTTATACACCAATTAAATTCAGATTTTTTTTTTCGGGCTGGCTGATGTTGGGGTTGTTTTGCTGACAGACAAATAGTAGAGAAGCCTTGAACTCTCAACCACCTTGTTGTGGCTCTTCTGTCTCTGTCGGTTCCAAGCAAAACAGAAATCCTTTAGAATTCCATAAACTGGATGTTGCAGACCAGTTCATGAGGTTTTGAAGTTGAATTTGCAAAGAGCTTTGAAGTTTTCAGAACATCTATAAACAAGCCTTTATTTTTTCAGGTTTAAATGGAACATGCAATAATTCTAGTGTACCAACATCAACTTCAGAAATGCCAGATTATTTATTGTAAGTATTTTTTTATGGGTTGCTTCGTCACTTTGGGATCGTGTTTCAAGCTAAAAAAAGTCACAGTGCACTGGGGATTTTTGTTGGACTTTTATGTTATTTGATAGAACTTTGTAAGGTGGGTTAAAAAAAAAAAAAAAGAGTGAATCCAGCTTTGCAGAGTTCCTGAGACTTAACTTGGCATCCAATCAGTTTTTTACCTCCCTGTGGAGTGTTTTCAGGTTTATCTCCTATAAACTGATTGTTCAAGTAGTTCAGGAAACATTTTATACCTTGGAGGGGTTGGAAAGGATTAAACATCTCCATGTTACAGTTGGAAACTCGGAGAGGAAATAATCTGCTTTAATGTTGTGGAAGACAAGGCGAGGAAGGATTTGGGGAGGTTTGCTAATTCTTCCCCTCTCCAGAGCCAAGATCATCAGCATAAAGCAGTGAAATATTCTTTAAGGGGAGGTTCTAACCCCTGGGTTGGGATGTGAGTTGTTTGACTCTTTAATGAGATCCCCTGGAGGTTCATGAAACAACCCACTCCAAAAAAAAACCAACCCTGTGCACAAAGCCCAGGATCTGCATAAACCCCAAAACCTGTTCCAGGCAAAGCTTTGGGATGGGGAGGAAGTGTAGCTGGGGGGGATGTTCCCTGTGCATGTCACAGCCTGGGGGTTGATTCCATCAGAGCTGGGATCACTGGCAGGGAAGGGATGGAGGAGGAAGTCCCTGGAGCTGGCTGGAGGAGATACAGGGTTCTCCTGTGGTTTTCTGGGCTCTGTGAACCCCAAACAGCCCCCTCAGGGTGACACTTTTAGGGCCATTCAGAGGAATTTGGGTGGCTGGGGGGTGGTTTCTTTCCCAGATGTGCTGATCTCTCCTACAAAGGGATATTACAGCTCCTTGGTCCCTCTCCAGAGCATCAGTGGGAGGTTTCTGAGCTCTCTGCTCTCACCTTCTGGTGGGATCCAACTGTTTTGATGGTCAGATCCTTAAATTACAGGAACTGTGGCACATTTTAAGAGCTGTTTTAATCGTGAAGGTGAATGTTTTGTGCTGGTAGAGGACTTACCTCCTGTCCTGTGTTGATGCTTCTTTATCCCAACCCGCAGCAAGGAGTCAGTTCTTGAAGGCTAAAGCACTTAGAAAGTGCTTAAAAGGTTAAAAGAGTGAAATCTCCCCCTTAATTTGAGGCCTAAATTGCCTTTTACCTGCTCAAGCACCCAGCTGGGGCTGCTGCAGCCAAGTCAGGGAGGCAAATTACAGCCATCCCCTCCCAAAAATTGAGTTTTTACCTTCAGAGAGGGCTGTAAATGTCAGGTTTAATGGCTTTTTTTGTTGAGCTGAATCACTTCCAAAGGGCCCCAGAGGCACATCTGCTCACCCTGAGCAACTTTGGGTGTCTCCAGAAGGTGCTGGAAACGAAGTCCAGCGAGCGTTTTGCAACGATGGCTCAATGCTTTTTGTGTTCCTTTAAAGACTCAGCACTGGAAGCATCCTATTCCTGCTGTTCCAGTGCCTGGCACAGAGGCAGAACTCCATGTTCTGCAGGACAGCAGGAGTTAGAAAAGCTGTAGCAGCACTATCTGAGTGTCTTCCTCCACCCACAGCTGCTCCCAGGCTGTCGTGTACCTGTGTGTCCCACACTTATCTGGCAGAGATAGGAAGTTTTGGGAGCAAAACAGTGTTTTTGTTTTGCAGGGAGGTCAAGGCAATAATCTTGACAGTTACACCTCCCAAAGTTGCTACTGTGGTGCAAAATCAGGATGAGAGGAAACAGCCTCAGAGCTGCACCAGGGGAGGTTCTTTAGATTGGCTGTGAGGGAAAATTCCTTTGCTGGAAGGTGGTCAGGCACTGGAACAGGGAATCACCATCCCCAGGGGAGTTAAGACATGTGGGAAGGTGGGTTAGTGGTGGGCTTGGCAGTGCTGGGGGAGTGGTTGGGTTTGAGCTTGGAGGGCTTTTCCAACCTTAATCCCCGAATCCCAGAAACTGGTTGGGGTGGGAAGAGACCTTAAGGCTTAAAGTGGATCCAGGGACACCTTCCCCTATCCCAGGTCGCTCCAAGCACCATCCAGGTTGACCTGGAGCACATCCAGGGCCGGGGCAGCCACAGCTTCTCTGGGAAAACCATTCCAGTGCCTCCCCACCCTCGCAGCCGACGATTCCTTCCCGACGTCCCACCAAAACGATTCCACGATTCCAAATCACACAAGACTCATTTTCCAATCGACCAGAGGGGACTCCCCCTAACCCCATTCCCCCCAAACCCCCTTTTCCCTGCAGAAAATACGCGGCCATCTCCTCCTCGGAGCAGCGTCAGAGCTACAAGAACGACTTCAATGCGGAGTACAACGAGTACAGGGACTTGCACGCCCGGATAGAGCGGATAACCCGGCGCTTCACGCAGCTGGACGCCAAGCTCAAGCAGCTTTTGCAGGGCTCTGAAGAATATAAGGTACAAAGGGGCAGGACACACATTAAAACACGTTAAATACATGTTAAATATACGTTAAAACCCCCCTTTTTTGGGGCGGGTCGGCGCCGGAATTCCACCCGGAGCCGGCGGGGAACGTGCGCGCAGCCGACAGCTTTGGGGGCTGCCCTTCTCCCAGCTCTGTGCTGCTCCCTTTTCAGGCTGGAGCCACATCATGGGACTTGTTGACAAGGAAAGGCCTCAGTGAGACAATTGGCGTCCTCAGCCAAAAGCTGCTGGAAGCTATTAGTGTATCCCAGCCAGAAAAACTCATATTTGCACATATGGGAGCGTATCGGGGCTGGAAGGGGAGTTAGCACGGGGTCATCTGCTCCTCTGGAATCTTTGATCTTCCCAAGGCACCATTATTGGACTTGTCAGGGTGATTTTTAAAGAGTTTTAGCTATTCATTAGCTTGAAAAAGTAAGCCTTGGTTGAGGGTAATAAACAGATTTTTACAGAGCACCTATTGTGCTGAAGCTCCCTCAGACATCCCTCCCCTCCCTCCTTGCAAAATTCGGGGATCCAAATTTTAATATCTTTGGGGGGGGGGAAAAGATCAGCTGGAGTTTTGGAAATGTCAGTTATCCCAGAACTGAGGTGCCTGTCACAGGTAGTTCTCACAGCTGGGGAGTGGGGCCTGATCCTCCCAGTGCCTCTGGAGTCAGCTCCAGTATATTCATGGAATCAGAGGCTGGCTGTAGCCACCAGGGAGGTCGTGGAGGGAGCAGATTCCGGTTGGAATTTGGAGGAATCGTGTACATTGAGCCATCAGGAAATATTTCCTGCTGCAGGAGGTTGCAGAACTGAAAATAATAAACCTATTTCCCCCCCCTCCTTTTTTTTTTTAGACCATCCATGATCAAATTTTACAGGAATATCGGAAAATTAAAAAGGTAAGCGAATGTGCTTGGCCACAAAAAGGCTTTTGGGTGGTGCCCCTGGTGTGACTGAAAGAGATGGGCCCCTGCCAAGTGCAAACCCAGGCTCTGAGGCATTCCAGCAGATCTTTGTTCAGCTCCAGCCCGTCCAGAAAGCAGCTCAGGAAGGGTTTGGGGGGGAGCTGGGATCCCAGGGAGCGCTCAGCCGTGGCCGTGGCACAATGGCTGGGTGAAATCAGGGCCTTTATCTCTCCAGGGAAAGAACAGTTTGTGTTTTCAGATGCACAGGCTGAGGGATAACAGGATCCTCCAGGATTTTTTTGGGGGGGGAGGCTGGTACACGAGGTCCAGGCTGGGATCAGTGTCTGGGGCACTGAAAAACATTAAATTTCTCTCTGTTTATGCAAAAAAAAACCACCCACACACCAGCAAGGGGTTGGGGTTTTCCTTTTAAATCTGTTGATATGATCCTGAGCCCAGTTGTCCTGAGGGATTTAGGAGCTTTTTGAGGAGATTCCCTGGGTGTTGGATGTTCAGCTTTGATCCAGAGCTCCCAGGTGGGGGCAGAGGGCCCAAAGTGCTTGTTGGAACTGCTCCCAGTTAGGCTGAGCCTCACTCAGGTGAGCTCATTCCCTGGGATGAGGCTCCTGGAGCTGGATAATGCTGAAGAGGGATTTTACTCCTTGTTTTGTTTGATCAGGGTGTTGAGGAATACAGGAGTAGGTCCATTTTAATTTGAGTATCCGAAAAAAAGCTTCGTTCCTTGTCAGTGGCTTCAAACTGAAAGAAAGGAGGTTTTTAGATGGGGCTTCATTCCTTGGTCATATCAGTGGCTTCAAACTGAAAGAAAGGAGGTTTTTAGATGGGATGTCGGGAAGGAATTCTTCCCTGGGAGGGTGGAGAGGCCCTGGCACAGGCTGGGCAGAGAAGCTGTGGCTGCCCCATCCCTGGAAGTGTCCAAGGCCAGGTTGGAGAAGGGAAGGCTCCAGGGAGACCTTAAACCCCTTCCAGGGCCTAAAAAGGGGCTCCAGGAGAGCTGGAGAGGGACTTGGGACCAGGGATGGAGGGACAGGACACAGGGAATGGCTTCCTACTGCCAGAGGGCAGGGTTAGATGGGATAGATGGGATATTGGGAAGGAATTCCTTCCTGGGAGGGTGAGGAGGGGCTGGGATGGAATTCCCAGAGCAGCTGTGGCTGCCCCATCCCTGGAAGTGTCCCAGGCCAGGTAGGAGCACCCTGGGCTAGTGAAAGGTGTCCCTGGATGGCCTTTAAGGTCCCTCCAGCCCAAACCCTTCCATGATTCCCTCTGTGGTTGTTTTGACCCCGCCTGGGCTTCGTGAAGAATCACCTCCCACCTCTGCCTTTTTCCTTTCTCTTTTCCAGACTAACCCCAATTACAGCCAAGAGAAGAACCGCTGTGAATACCTCCACAACAAACTGGCTCACATCAAAAAACTCATAGCAGAGTATGACCAGCAGCAGTTTTAGCTGCCACCACCTCCCCTCCTCCTCCTCCTCCCCCCCTGGACTGGGTAGGGCAAAACAACAACAAAAAAAAAAAAAAAAAAAAACCAGTCACCTGGACGTTCCTTTTTTTTTTTTTTTTCCCTTTTATACACCCAAAAATCCCTCTCAGAGACGAGCATTAATTATTCCTCGTGGTTGAAGAACTTTTTTGGGGATGACTTATGATGCTGAATCTTGTCGTGTCCACGTCCAGCACGCTCCTCCCGAGTTTTGGGTTGGTTTTTTTTTTTGTTTTGTTTTTTTTGTTTGTTTGTTTGTTTTTTTTTAAAGCCTCTCCGAATGTAACCAACGGGATAAAACGAAATTAATCTACTTATTTGGAAAAGCCAGCGTTTGACACTGTTTTTGTTGTGGTTTTTTTGTTTTTGTTTTTTCTTCCCTGCTCAAACTGCTACAGACACTTAAGGGAAGGAAAAAAAAAAAAAAAACAAAACCCACAACAAAAACCAGAAAAACACACCAAAAAAAACCAAACTTGCCTAAAAAAGTGACCGAAGCTCCCAAAGAGGTTAAGAATCTGTAGTTTTTTTTGTTTTGTTGTTTTTTTTTTTTCATGGAATTAAGTCTTTGGCATGAAGTGTAATTCCCCAGCTCCACCTGGGGGGGGTTACAAAGTGTCCTGCAGATGGTGAGGAACTGGAATTGCTGCTCCTGAGTCGGAAGGAGGGCTGCGCCTGCTCCCGGCACCGCGTAAATACACCACGTACCCAGAGCTCTCCTTGTCTGGCCCTGCTTTGTCATCTCTGGGAAAGGGGGTGGGGGTGGTTGTGGCAGCTCAGGGGGGTCCCCCCCTCGGCCAGGGCACAGGTGGATCCCCCTCCTCCCCAAAAATTACCCAAAAATTACCCCAAAATCCCATTTTTTCGCCCCGCTCGTGCGTGATTTCCCCCCAGCCCGCCCAGTTCTCCTCCACCTCCTCCACCCAGTAGCTGGGGAGATGGAGACCTGTCTCCAGCTCCTGTTCTGTCTTTTGGACTTTTATAATTTTCTACCAAGGCAGCCAAGGTTTTATTAATTGCTTAACGAGACTCTCTGGTCTATTTTTGTATCAAAAAAAAAAAAAAAAAAACACAAAAAAAAAAAGAGAGGGGGGAGAAAAAAAAAAAAAGGCATAAGCATCTTTTTCTGAAACTGTGCCTCCCTTTCCCTTTTAGGCCAAGTGTTTGGGAACTTTTCCTTGCAGTGTTACTAAAACTTTATCAAATAGTCACCCAGAGGGAGTTATTTTATTCCTGATCCATGAGAGGAGGGGGTGGGGGGTTGCCTTGCTTTCTCCTGGGATTATTTTTTTTTTTGTTTGTTTGTGTGTCCTTCCAAAGGAGCAGCAGCAAACCCTTCTCAGAGCAGTGTGAGAGCAGTAAGGTGCTGTTTTCCCACACAGATCCCTTCCACTGGTGTGCTTTTATCCAACCCTGCAGTCTTGCTTCCTGATTTTTCCCCCCCCTCCCCCTTATTTTGGATTGAAGGGAACATTTTAGAGTATGGCCAGGGTGTGAGAAACACTCCAAAAAGCACAAAGGTGTCCTTTAACTCTGCCATTCCTTCCTTTCTCTCCCCTCTCCCCTTTTTAATCCTGCCAGCCTGTGGGATTTGACTTCTTCCCGCTTCCGTTTATCTCAAAGTAAAGGATTCCTTCCCTGTGGAGTCTCCTTCCCTTGGAGGTTGCACTGAAGAGCCTTTTTCACCCTTTGAAGGAGCAGAATGGCAGAGTTAAGGGGGGAAAACACTTCTTGCACGAGGAGTATTGGGAGTTTTTCCTGCCCCCAGAGAAACCAAAGTGGGTCCATCTGTTGTATTAAAAAAAAAAAAGAGGAGAAAATTAACAACAATAATAATAATACCAATAATAATTCCATTGTTGTCACACAGCCAAGGCCACTGCTTTGCTTTGTCACTTTATTCTGAGGTCTCTCCCTGAGCATCCAGGGCTCCCTGGGGCTTTGCCATCCCCTTTTTTCCCAAGGAAAAGGTGACAGCTGAAGGCACAGGGTGGCCCTGGGGGAGCCACTGGGGCAGCCACTGGTCCCCAAACCCAGCCCTGGTCAGGAGAGGGGGACCAGCACCCCAAAAACCCCAGGGCATTCCCAGTGGGAATCTCAGGGAATGCTTTGCTCCCATCCCTCCCCAAATCACACCTGGAGCTCAGGGGGGTGTTGGTGCTTCTGCTGCTCAGGGAGAGCTGGGAAACCCCTGGGAATTCCAAAGGCAAGGAGCTTTTCTCTGGCAAACTTCTGTCCTCCTGCTCCGGGGGGTCTCACCCCGAGTTTCTGGGAAGATCCCAGCTGGGAATTCTTGCTCCCAGGTGGAGCTGTGGGGATCTGGGAGAAGAGGGGGGACTTCAGGAGGGCCGGGAATGCCACAACCCCCGGAGCTGCCGGGACACCGTCGCTGCCAGACCTTCCAAATTCCAGGTTTTTTTGGGGGGCAAGGCTGAATTTCCCAGGGCTGGGGCTCGGTGGGGGCTTCGTTCTGGCTGTGGAGGAGCAAAGAAACTCGGGATGGCCGAAGAGGCAGCAGCTACAAACCCAGGATGAGTAAATTCTTCCGTGGAAAACACTTCTCCTGATCCTTAATTTCAATTCAAAAGGGTTTTGTTTTATTTTGTTTTGGTTTTTTGGGGGGGTTTTTTTGTTGCTCATGGGGGGGGATAGAGATGGATCTCAATCTTTATACATCTGCTATAAGATATTTTTGCAAACAGAGTTGTATACAAAGATGTATTGTGTACATTTACATGTATATTCTGGAACTTCTAAAAAATTTGAATATTAAAAAGAAAAGAAAAAAAACCCTGAAAATATTTAATGAATATCCAAACTGTGAGACCCAATTAGCATCCACCAACTTCCTGCTTCACTTTTCTTTTGGACTGTGTTAAAAGAATTGTAGTCGAATCTGCCTTTTTATTTTTATTTTATTTTATTTTATTTTTTCCTTTTTAGAGATGACGAAGCTTAGGCAAAATTTTGTGCTTTTTGGGTTAATAGAAACCAGTTCTAGGTGATTAAGTATGATCTTAACTTATTGATACTGTGTTTTACTTTGTAATATTGTACTGTGGATAAAAACTATATTGAGCCATGGAGTTGGAGTTTACAAAAAAGAGCTTTTCACTTTGCCAAAATGTTACAATTTCAAGGCAGCATAGTCTTCAGCTTTCCTAATCTTTTTTTTTTTTTTTCTTAAGAGCTAGTGTCCTTTTTTTTTTTTTTTTTGTACACTAAAAAAGCTGAATGCTGATTTTGCAACATATAATAAATTCACTGTATTGGAAAACAAGCAGACAATAAGGTTGTGGATTTCTTTTCAGTGCTTCTCCCTGCAAGGAAACTCAAAAAGGGAAAGGTGATAAATGGCTGGCGTGGAGTTTTGGAAGCAGGAAACGGGAAGGAACCGGGTCACTTGAGTGAGTTGGAAGTGTCAGAGCAGGGAGTAGGTAAGAAAGAGGAGAGGGAAGAGGTGCTTGGAGTGGGCCAACTCCTTGGAACGCTGCCCTGCTCCGGTGGGATCGGCCTCCAGCCCTGGCAGGAGCTGGGGATCTTCCCACTGCAGCACCACTGGGGTTTATTTTTGGAGGAAAAGCTGCTTTTGGGGCTGTGTCAGGGTTGGAGGGGAGCACAGAGCCCGGGCAGCCCGTGGCCCTGGAGCAGCAGGAGGCTCAGGGATGCTCCCAATCCATGGAGGGGGCTCTCCCTTCCCCTCCCCGGGAGCCCAGCTGGGTCTGACGTGGGGAGTGAGTCACATCCCCGGGGAGCAGGAGCTGGAGCAGGGATGGCAGTGCTGGAGCTGCGAGGGGGGGACGAGCCTGGCACAGACGCTGCCTGTCCACGCTGCCGGAGCTCCCACCTCCGCCCACCCGTGTGAATCATCCAGCAGAACCTCGGGATACAAACAGCACCTCCGCTGTGGCCAGCCTGTCCCTGTCCCTGTCCCTGTCCCTGCTGTCTCCTGCCTTGCTCTGCTCCTGCCTCCGGCAGCATCCCCGGGGCCGGAGCAGGCAGAATAAAATCAAGGACAAAACCACTCAGGAGTGTAAAATCCTTGGAATAGCTGCTGTTTTCTTGCTTTGGGGGCTCCCTCAAGCAGCAGGTGACAGGGCCAGAGACCACAGTGATGGCACTGGATCCCCCCATGTCCATAACGAGCCTGCGTTCACTTGGATTTAGTGCCCACCTCAGGATTCTACCTCCAAAATAGCAAACTGTGGAGAAGGTGAAAATAATCCAGGGCTCAAATAACATCTTACACAGCCTT